CATTCCGTGGTGGAGAAACTGGAGGCAGCTCACCTGCCCGTGCGGCAGCACCGACAGGGCGGGGGCCAGCGGCCAGGCTCAGAGCTCCCGTGCAGGGACCACCCGGGGTGCTGCTGGGTCTGGCCGGATCCTGGCCAGACTGGGAGCCCCGTCTCCCATGTGGAGACGGCTCGGGAGCTGGTTCTGGAGGCCCAGCCTCGTGCCTGGTTCCTGCTGGACTTCAGCCCGGGAGAGGCAGGAGCAGCCTCCGCCAGGGAGGTGGCACGGGAAGCGGAGGGAAGCCTCGCTCCTGGACGGGGACCGAAAACTTGCCAAGACTGATTTCAAGTTTATTGCCATTAAAATTGATTTTTATTATTTCCTGTCTTATTCTATCTAAATTCTAAAAACTTTCCTTAAAAATTAAACTTACAGATATGTCTAGAAAACAATGAATGTTTTTAAACTATGACTACTTAGCTGAGTAAAACACAGAGTTCACTAAAATCTTTTCACGCAACCAAAACAGTCAGAGAGCGAGCTGTGGCCCTCGTCTGTCCTTGACTCTCTCCACATGGGAGGCAGGCCCACGCCAGGTGGCGAGCGGGTCATGGCTAGGCCCCGCTGCTGTGTGTGCAGGGACCAGAGGCGGGGCCACCGAGCTCCTCGCGGAGAACAGGGGTTTCAGCCACTAGCTGTCCCCGAGCACTGGGGGAGCCTGTGGCCTCCTGGCTGGAGAGCGCGGTGCTGCCCGGGGCTGCCTTCTCTGCCATTTGTGGGCATGGGTCGTCCTGGGGCCGGCTGCCCTGCCGTGGGGTCTGCTCCTCTCGAGGTGCCAGGCGGCTGCTGCTGGAGGTGGACTCTGAGGCCGGGGGCTTCTTGGATGGCACCCTCTGGCTGCTGGACTGCAGTGGGTGGAGGAAGGAGAGGCTTTCCAGGTCTGACTGCCCAAGCGGGATCTCCACGGGGGTGAAGGGCTCCGGGGCGCGGGACTTGGCCAGCGTGGGCACCCTGGCTCCTGCAGAACAAAGCAAGGTCAACCCCAAACCCCAGGGAGGGCCACAGCACAGAGCCTCTGGACGCAGGGATGAGCCCAGCCCCACTGGTGATGAAGACCCGCGCGCGGCCCTCAGGCGGCTTCTGTCCCGTGCTTCCTCTTGCCTGGAGAGGCGGGCTGGTTTCTGGCAAGATCACCTAGGCTGAGACACAGGGCCCCGCTCCCAGCTGGGCCAGTCAGCATCCCCTCGAGCAAAGCTGCCCCTAAACGCCCCTGTCCTGCCAGAAAGCTGAGAAATCTATTATTCTTATTGTGAAGTACCACACACGCTGAAGACTGGACAAAAGTAGCAAGAGTGAAAGCCTAGTCGAGGGCCCCAGGGTGAGGCACGCCTGTGTCCCCGCCCCCGCCCCTCCACTCGTGGTCACATGCCCTGCACCCCCTCCCTGGTCTCCCCTCGCTTTTGGCAAGTGTCTGGTTTACTGTTGCTGGAGGCACGCGTCTCTAACAACACGTCTCTTCTGCTCATCTTGAACTTGAGCCGGGTGGACCCGAGTGTACTCTCGCTCGCTCCTTTTGCTCCCTGTGGGTTGCGTTGGTGACAATATGTCAAGCTGCAGTTTTGTGTCAGATGAGGTACAGACATGTGAGATACAACGCCACCTGAATGCACCACACTTTCTTATCTGGACTTCTGAGACAAGTTTTCATTGCTCCCAGCTTGGCACTCTCGTGAACAGTGCTCACGTCCCACGGTGTGGTCGGGCGAGAAGCTCCTTGAGATACACCTAGAATGGAACTGATGGGCTTCGGGTCAGTCCCTGGGAGCTGTGTGAGGTCACGTCCACACGCTTCCAAGGGTCTGCGCCAAGTCAGACCCACCAGCCACCCATTGCGTGCATGTCCCCACTGCGCCCAACCTCTCCAGCACTTGGTACGGGAGCAGGATTCGCATTCTTGCTCACAGGATGCGTATACAGACGATGTAGCTTCAGGTTGCATCTCCCTGATTACTGATCCGGTTACGATGTAGCTTCAGGTTGCATTTCCCTGATTACTGATCTGGTTAGGCACGTATTACGTTTACTGGCTTTGGGGAGGTTTCCTCTTTTGTGAAATGGCCATCTGATTGCTTATGCTTCTACTTGTTTCTGTTGAGTGCTAATTCTTATTCAGTCATAATTCTGGATACTAGGCCTTTGTCAGTTATGTATTGCAAGTACTTTTCCAATTTCTTTATTTTATTTTATTTTTTTCCTTTTTGTCTTTTTTCGTGACCGGCAACGGATCGCAACCTTCAGTGTCGCGCCCGTACCGGACCAGGACCGGCAACGGGATCGCAACCCTCGGTGTTGCACCCGCACCTCACTCAGTCAGTGAGTGGCTGGTCTGTATGTGGGATCAGAACCCTCGGCGGGAGCGCCACTGCGCTCCCAAGCGGCACACTGTAGCAGTGCGCCACCGGGCCGGCCCCTTTTCCAATTTCTTGTGTGATTTTTTACTTTTTAGTGGTATCTTTTGATAACCAGAAGTTCTCGATTTTAGTATAGTGTAATTTATGCATATCTTCCTTGTGATTAGTGGAATTGATTTTTGTAAACAGTACAAGGTAGGGGTCCAATTGCATTCACGTTTTTTCACACATGTGTACAACACTGTTCCAGCAGCAGTTATTTTAAACACCCACCCATCCCTACTCATCAGTCACAGTTTGACATCTCGAACCCATCTCACCAATCTCTGTTCTTTCTTCACAAACACCACACAGCCTTTAATCAATAAGCTTTAGAAGAAATGCTGATATCTGCAAGGGCAAGTCTTCCTACACGAGTATCTTGGTTATTCTTTTGAAGCTCTGTGTACACTTTAGAATCAGATTTTCAAGTGATACACACAGACACAACACACACGAACACAACGCGTGCTGGGACTGTGACTGAGGCTGCGCTGACTCTACCTGGGGAAACATCTTCACAGTGTCCCTGCCACCGTCCATGAGTGCTGTGTGTCTGTTCGTTCGCTTAGGCCTTCCTACAATGTCTCTAAGTTTTATAGTTTTCTCCACAATCTTACAGAGTCTCTGCTATTTTAGATGCTGCTATTTTGTATGGTGTATTCTGTATGCTACTGTAAATAGCACACGAAGGTACTTCAAAAAGTTTGTGGGGAAACAGAATTAAAAGATGACATGAATCTTCCCACAGACACTTTGAAGTGCCCTCACAGTTTTCATTTTCTAACATTTCTTACTGATATGCAGAAATGTCT